TCTTCTTCTTCTTCTTCTTCTTCTTCTTCTTCTTCTTCTTCTTCTTCTTCTTCAAGAAGTTCAGCAAAAGCTTAGATTAGAGTATTTTCCAATATCCTCCTGTACCATTCCTCAGTTAAGCACTGGATTCCTGATACAGAATGAAGAAGTTGTCCTCATCTTGATGCAATCAAGTTCCTGGGTGCCCAGTACCAAGCCATTTCTTGTCATAGTAACAAAGGAATAATCAAGGAAAAGCAAACACAATGACAAAACATGTTGAGAGCCTCTGATCTTCCAGAATGGGTCTTACACTGTAGGACCAAATCCTATCCTTGTAGCAGGAGAATCCAGCCTCTCCCAGTGATGTGGAACACACTTAGAGTTTGGGTCTTTACAGTGTAAAACTGTAGGTAGTAAAGAAATCAGTATGGGGCTGGGGGTGGCTCCACTGGTAAAGTGTCTGTCATGCAAGCGTGAAGACCTGAGTCAGGATACCTAGCTTTGATGTAAAAAGCCGGGTGTGGTGGCACACTCCTTTGACCCTGCCACTGAGGAGGCGAGGACAAGAGGCTCTCAGAAACTTACTGACCATCCAGTCTTGCCCAGTCAGTGAGGTTCAGTTCAGCGAAAAGATCCTGACTCAAAACACAATGTGAGGAATGATAAAGACAACTGGCGTTGACCTCTTACCTCCACATGTATGAGCATACATGCACGAATACCCTCTCACATGAAATGTGCACACACATGCAATACACACACAAGAAAGAAGTCAGTATTTACTGAGCATCTACTCTATGCCAGACCCTTCACATATACTAAGTCCTTTCCTAAGTCTGAGAAGCAGACATCATCTTTTATCATCAGTTCTAGAGCACATTCATTTCACATTTTAATATTTCAAAATGAGGATGACTTATGATCAGTATCATCAGTATATAGTTGTGTGTCAAATTTAATTGAATTCAAAATTTGAGGCTTAGTGCTGAATATTACAAATAGTGGTTTCTTCTTAAATACAGAATACAAAATGATTCACATTTAACAGACAGTAAAGCAGAGGCCTGGAAAAGCTGAGAGTAGGAACTTGAACTCAGGGCTACCTCACTCTGAGACATAGCCTTGAGCAGGCTTGGAACTCTGAGTAAATATGCTAGACTTCAGTAGTATATACCTGTTGTAAATCTGCCATCTGCTCCTTCCAGGAAATGTGGTCTTTGGCGAGCCCATCACTGCCAGCCTTGGAATAGATGGAACCCATTACTGGAGCAAGAACTGGGCCAAGGCAGCCGCATTTGTGACATCACCACCTCTGAGCCCTGACCCAACGACCCCTGACTACATTAACTCGTTGCTGGCCAGGTTGGTGGAGGAGTGCCAGATGTTCTATTGATTCACTTGGTTTGGGGGCTGCAGCAGTCCTGTCAATCAGGTAGACTAGAGTCTGCAGTGTCAAATTCTCCTGAAGTCTTGAGTTCAGAAAACTGGCTCTTCCCCTAATGGTCCTAGCAGTTAATGTCTTAAATGCCAAGCTCCCTCTGATCTCTTTTGTTCCTTATAAAAATCTTATGAGTAAACCACTATTATAAAGCAACTGAAGGTCAAAGAGTTTAAAGTTATTTGTCAGAATTCAAATCATCCCTCATGATGACATAGCAAAAGTTATAGGGAGACTCACAAGATCAGGGCATCACTCATTAAGTTCTTGTTTTGTAAAAAGTTCGTGTGTGTGTGTGTGTGTGTGTGTGTGTGTGTGTGTGTGTGTGTGTATGTGTACTACATGCATGCAGGTACCCGAAGAAGAGTTGATCAGATCCCCTAGAAGTGCAGTTACAGGCAACTGTGAGTTATCTGGTGTGAGTGCTGGGAACAAAACCCAGGTTCCCCTGCAAGAGCAGCAAGTGCTCGTAACCACTGAGCCATCTCGCTAATCCATTTGAGTACTTTTTATTTGCCACAGAAGACATGATCTAATTCCATTCTAGATGGGTGGCTGAGACCAGAGAGGGGCAGAAACTTACTCAAGCTCATATATCTAGTAAGGGATATTGGCATTCCAAGCTGAAGCAATCTAACTCTAAACTCACACCAGGTATGATTCTGATCTCTCAATGCACTCCAGCTGTCTCTCCTACTCACATGGAACTGTCTCCTTTTCCAGCGGGGATTTGCAGCTCTCTGGAAGTGCCCATTGCACTTTCAGCACTGCCCAGAAAGCCATTGGGAAAGACAACTTCACAGCCATCCCTGAGGGTACCAATGGTGTGGAAGAGCGTATGTCTGTCATTTGGGACAAGGCTGTGGTAAGGAACTGAGGGCACTGGAAGGGGGCCATGGGACAGATCGAAACATCAGGCACCAACCAGATCAGGACACTGCCCCTCAGACATGCCCTGGTATGGGTGCTTAGGATTTAGGTGAGATCTGAGGAGCAGATGGCTCAGGCAGCTTTGGCAATTCTCCTGGAAATGATATCTGGGTTCTGGAACTCTAAGGAGGCTTCCTTGTCTAGAACGTTAAGAGGCTGACATTCATCTCCTTCATCTGATTGTATGAAGGATCTGTCTTCAAATGACAGTGAATTCATTTCCTTGTTTGAGGAGCTTTATGGCTTCTTTTGAAATGATTAAATATGACACTTTAAAATGACAAGCAAGGTATCTGTGCCTAAAGTCACCAAGTCATGTCAGGAATGCCCCATGCTGAAGGCATGAGCTTCCCAGGCTATATTTGAGATTGACTCTCAGTTTCTTACGGCAAAGTATCATCTTTTTATTTTCCATTTTTTATATAGTAAGGACCGACAAAATAAATAGCCAAATCAATAAAGATTTTCCCAAAGATTTTAGTAAAATTAATAACAAACTCATTATGTGGTTACTCTCTATGTTCAATTCCAAGGTCAGTCTATACGAACTAATGCTTCATTCATCTCACAGGAAAATCCATTCAGCCTCCTGTTCTTGGCTCCCAGGAAGCTCAGGGTTGGGCTTTAAACTTCGTTCTTTCCATACTCAGGCTGTTTCCATAAAAGAGAAATTATAAACTTTTTGTCTCTTCTCTCATGTAGTTAGCTTTTTACACTGTTCTGTTTTAATGAAAGGCTATACGTATATGTCCTGGCACTATATGAATTTACCAAAAATTAATATATACACTTATGTGCTGCATAATGACATTATCAATATAGAACTCATAACTGGTTGCATAAGATTATATCCCCTCGTGGTGTAGTTTCATGTAAGAGTACTCTGTGATGGTAACAGAGCAACAAAATCACCACCAACACAACTTCTCAGAGCACCTCCTCATCATTAAGTGATGCATAACTTTATTTTTTAATTGGCGACATGGTACATCAATAAAGGATACTTAGAAACCTCAGAAAAACATATACACGAGAAAAAATATTTCAGGATTTTGTAACACAGAGATAACCACTGTTGCCATCTGTGTGAGGATTTGGCATATTTATTCTCTGAGCACACAAATGCACCTGTGCCTAAGGAATGGACTCATGATCACTTTGGATTTTTAAAAGCATTTCATTTATTATTTTTATTTTATGTGTATGAATATATTGCCTGCATGTGTGTAAGTGCACCTGTGCCATGCAACGCCCATGGAGGTCAGAAGAGGGTGTTGGATCCTCTGGAACTGGAGTCAAGGACAATTGTCAGCCGCCATGTAGGTGCTGGGAATCCAACCCAGGACCTCTGCAAGGGCTGCCAATGCACTTAATTGCTGAGCCATCTCTCCATCCCCCTTACTTTTGTTCTTACTGAAAATTCTGATCCTTTTTGAAATTAAAAGGGGTAAATGAGTAAGCAAAATATATATACATATTCAGAAAAAAAAACCACATACTTGAGGAGCAGTAACTTCCATCTCAAGCCCCATGTTTACCCATTTTGCCTGAGAAGCAAATGACCCTCAAACTTGCTAGACAGACAGGATGACAGGATGTGTGCTTAGCACCTCATAGGACCCACTTTGTACAGCTAGAGACAGGTACAGACATGTAGTCTTTGTATTTCTGTAGGCCACAGGGAAAATGGATGAAAACCAGTTTGTGGCTGTGACAAGTACCAATGCTGCCAAGATCTTTAACCTATATCCCCGCAAGGGGAGAATAGCTGTGGGATCCGACAGCGACCTGGTCATCTGGGACCCAGATGCTGTGAAGATCGTCTCTGCTAAGAACCACCAGTCGGTGAGACTTGGGTTGGTGGGGTGGAGAATGTGTGCACAGAGCAGGCTTATGAAAGTCAACTTTATAATTATGTAGCACTGAGGGGTTTTGTTTGTTTGCTTGCATTTTGTTTTAGAAGCAGGGTTCTCTCACAGGGTTGTGCATACCTTTAATCTCAGAGCTCAGGAGGCAGAGGCAAGTGGATCTCCATGAGATCAAGGCCAGCCTGGTCTCCATAGGGAGTTCCAGGCCAACTGGGGCTACAGGGAGACTTTGTCTCAAAAGCAAACAAAATAAAAGCATGGTCTCATATAGCTCAGCCTGACTTTGAATTTGTTGTGTAGCTGAACTCCCTGAACTCCTAATAATCCCACCTCAACCTCCCAAGTGCTGGGATTACAGGTGTATACTCCCAAGACCCAAGAGTGCTATCTTAAAACTTAAAGTGTTGGGTTCTCAGTCCTGCTGGAGGAAACTTGTGGGTCAACAGAAAGGTCCTGCTCTTCCTAGTTACTTGGGGATGGGTGTAACCATCTACCCAGGCTTCCAGGATTGCCGATGCTTAGATGGGCTTTATGTTTTGAAAGGAGGAAAAGTGTAAATATTTTTCATTATATGTTTCTGTACTTCTAGCAAATCAAAACCAAAGCTTAAGTATTAAGTATTTCATAGTAAAACATTATTTTAAGTACTTATGTATTGAGTACTGTGCTTTCAATTCAAGGAATTGCCTGAACAGTCTTCCACAGGTTTCTGTTGTACTCTTATCTCCATTTTGTAATTTTTCCTAATTTCTGGAAGTGCAAAAAAATTACTTATATCGCAACTCAGTAGTGGAGCTAGTATTGAAACCCTAACTCCAAACTAGAGTTCTCAACCCTTATAGTGTCTCTCCCTGCTGAACAAGTGATGGAGGTAGGCAGAAATCCTATTTTGGGTTGCAGTGGCCTTTGCTTTAATACCAAGTTACATCATAGTATGTTATTTAATGCTGATAGAGGCCAAAAGACCTCGTGTCCTCCAGTGCTCAGCCAAGGTCACATGTACAACATCCCCAAGGGTCAGGTAGCTGTTTTTATAATCCTGCTGGCAGTAAAAATAGTCTTCCAGTTAAAGATCTTTTTTGTAAGATTTTATTTATTCACTTTAATTATGTACATGGGGTGGTATGTGCAACTTCAGGTGCCTTCAGAGAGTTATAGACAGTAGTGAACCTCCAGCAGTTGGTGCTGGAAACTGAACTCTGGTCCTCTTCAACAACATAAGCACTTTTTTTTTGAGACAGGGTCTCCCTGTTAGCCCCGCAGCTGACCTAGAACTCACTATGTAGGCCAGGCTAGCCTTGAAATCACAGAGATCTGCCTGCCTCTGCCTCCCAAGTGCTGTGCACCACCATGCCTGGCCAGTTAAAGATCTTAATGAAGATGAGACACTTTTCTTTGGTCGAAGCATCTTTGTCTAGGAAGTGTCACTCTCCCGTCCCCTCTCAAAGCAGGCAGATATGCCCCAAGCTATGTCTGGCTTACTTAGTGACTCCATACCTAGACCTAGGGGCACTGGAAGGCGAGGTCCCAAACACAGAAGATAACCCCATTCTTCTTTCTTTGCTTCCTATATCCATTGCCTGGCTTTGTCCCTACCCCGGAATCTAGGCTGCAGAGTACAACATCTTTGAAGGGATGGAACTTCGTGGGGCACCCCTGGTGGTCATCTGCCAGGGCAAGATCATGCTGGAAGACAGCAACCTGCATGTGACCCAGGGGGCTGGCCGCTTCATCCCATGCAGCCCATTCTCTGACCATGTCTACAAGCGCATTAAAGCCAGGAGGAAGGTGAGCACCATTGAGGCCCAGAGGTGAAGAAGGGTGCTGGGTCCCACTTGGTCTTTGGGATCCTTCCCCAAACCATCACAGTGGGATTCACAGAAATGGTATGACTCTAAAGAAGTGCATGGAATTTGTGCACTAGGAACTAGACTTTTGAAAACTTTTGGCCAAAGAAAGTTTTTCTTCTACTAATTCCTCCACATTTTATAGTATTGTAGTTTAAAATTTGAGTCATTCAATGTAATATTAGTATGTTTTTATAAACATAAATTATTCTTAAAGGCTTAAAACCCGCCCATCTCTCTTCTAGCCTGCCCAGTGCTGCTCCATGGGAGAAAATGCTTCTAACCTTTAGTGACTATGGTTCATACAAGATCTTGTCATAGCTTTGGTTTGTTTGTTTGTTTGCTTGCTTGCTTGCTTGCTTGCTTGTTTGTTTGGTCTTCTTGAGACAGAGTCTCCCTGCAGCCCCAGCTGGCCCTGGAATTTTCTTTGTAAATCAAGCTTGCCTTGATCTCACAGAGATCTGCTAGCCTCTGCCTCCTGAGTGCTGGGATTAAAGGCATGTACTGTCACACCTGGCATATAGCTTTGATTTTCACACACACACACACACACACACACACACACACACACACTCTAAAATCAGAGTAGCTTGGGTTGATTTGGAGGTGGCACCCAGAAATTTCTTTTCTGATTCCCTCTTCTACCCTCTCCAGTTTTCCGGTCTTCTTTGAACTTCTGGTTCCATAAAGAAAAGTTAGGTCAGCACCTGAGGTTGAGATAGAGGTGCAGAGTTTGAGCTGCCTTCTCAAGTTTTGGATTATAGAAAAGAGAATAAAACTCAAACTTCCCTAGTCTATTTCTATTATTGTGACTTTGATTCTGAAACCAAAGAAAAAAAACAAAGAAAAAGTGCTGCTGCTGCAGCTTGCTAGCTGGGAAGTGCTGATGATCGGATATTCCGCAAATTAACCTCTGCCCTCTTGCTGAGTAGGACTGCTTCCTGGTCACTGCATATAAGATAGGCAGGGCTCCCTAGAGATCCCACCATGGCCCTTCCTGACTATCAGACACATAAGGAGCATGTCCTCATTGCCTCAGTCTGACCAATGATATGACATGGTAGAGGTTGCCTGTCTTGGGTGGTCTGGCTGTGTTTGTCTCATAGACCCTAAGCTCCTCTAGGGGACACACCAAATTTCACAGAGCTATAAACCCCAGCTTTTGGCAGGAGGCCCAGTACAGAGCATGTGCTTGGTTGACATTGCTGACCGATTTCACAGGCCTAAGGCAAATTTACAGCCCTAGGTCAGTGGGTCAGACCACAGACTCCCAGCTTATGGCCTGGTAAGGCTGATGTGTGCTGAAGAGCCTCAGGGTGGAGCTCCCATGGGATCTCATCCCAGCAGTGTGAGTGACTTCGTCTTAGACTCCTGCCCTTCTGGATGGCTCTGCTCCAGCTGTACTGAAGGTTCTTCCATTCCATAAACTTTCCACTTCCAGCTCTTTGTACTAACTGGTGCCTCTGCTTCCACCACTGCCAACCACATCCATTCTTGGCATCACTTCGGCCTTTTCCCTCCTCCAAGCTCAACTCCATCGTAATGTCCTTTGACTGAACAAATGAAGGTGATATACATTTCTGTTGCTGCAGATGACTGACCTGCATGCGGTTCCAAGAGGCATGTATGATGGACCCGTGTTTGACTTGACCACTACTCCCAAAGGGGGCACCCCAGCCGGCTCTACTCGGGGCTCTCCCACTCGGCCAAACCCACCAGTGAGGAATCTCCATCAGTCAGGATTTAGCCTGTCAGGTGAGTAGAAAAGCTGATCAAGAGAGGAACGGAGGAGAAAGGGGAAAGACCAGCACCCATGCCTAGAAAATAATCCTACAAAGTCAACTTTTCCAGTGTAGTTCTGGTGTCCCCTTTAGAAAAGTTAGGAAGGTTTACCTAATCAGCAAATGGCCCTGGTGAGAAAGTCAAATAAAGCTTAGTCTTCAGAGGTCAAGTTCAAATAAGAGCAGATTGTACTTAAAGATCAGACCTGGTTGGGGATAGGTCAATAGAGCTGATTTCCACTGGGAATTGATAATGATCTTCCATCAGCCTATGAGAACTGGGCATTGTATTATTTGTTTTTCAAACTTCAGCTCAAAGAAAGCTCAGACTATTTTCATGCTCAAAGTTTAGAAGCTTCTTGGTGCCTAAGATCTGTGTTCTTTCCCCTGTGCAGTAAGAATGATGTCTGCAATAGCCTCCATTGACAGAAATGTTACCAGTGTTCTTCCTCTTCCTATTTTGTCTATTCTTTCTTTAATAGTTCTCTAGTAGAAATAGATAATAATAATTGTTTAATTGCTCCAAAGCCAAGTCTCTTAAAATGGGGGAAGATAAATACAGATTTGCATCTTTATGATGGAAATATTAAATGTGAGAAAAACAAGATGTGAAAGAAAAGGCATTTAAAAGTGAAACCACAGCATGTAGAGAAGGAATGGAAGAAATCGAAACCACGGAGAACCATAAGACAGGGAGAGCAACAGAGGAAAGCTTCAGGTGGCTTGGCCAGAGGTCTCACTCTGCTGTCCCTGGCAGCTGTGTGTGTGCTCACCATTTTTGGCTTCCTGGCCATGTCAGGCTTTAAACATCCCGAGGTTTCTTTCTGAATGAAACTAAGCACACATTTGTGCTTCCAGTGCATAACCAGAAGAACTTGACCATCCTTCTTCCACTTCAGAAACCTTGGGCAGATAATCTCTTTTCTTCTCTCTCTCTCTCTCTCTCTCTCTCTCTCTCTCCCTCCCCTCCCTCCCTCCCTTCCTCCCTCCCTCCTTCCCCCCCTCTTTCTCTTTCTCTCTGTCTCTCTCTCTCTCTCAGCAGGATCAATGAAATTGCCTTTTCCAAAGCACAGTGCTGAGGACCAAATGAGAGCTGTTGAACTCTTGACACATAGCCAGCAATCAATATAGGCAGCCATCTTCCTACCCCTTATCAATGTTCTTCCTAATATTACTGCCATGTTTAGGGTCAGATGAAATCTAGAGAGGAATTTGTTTTTTTCCTATCAAGAAAGAGGAGGGGATCATGAAAGGGGAGGGGATCATGAATATGAAACATTCAAGACATGGAGGAATTTTCTTGGGCACTAAGTCCAGGAAGGTACTTAATACCTACCACTCTTCAAATTAATCACTGTTGCTTTTGTCCAACCCCTCTCTTTCCTTTATTTCTCTCTGGGAATTTATCTCCAACCACAGGCACCCAAGTGGATGAGGGTGTTCGCTCAGCCAGCAAGCGCATCGTGGCGCCCCCTGGAGGGCGTTCTAATATCACATCCCTGAGTTAAGCAACTCCTCCCCAAAGATGGGGGGGGCCAGAAGCAAGAAGAGATTGTTTGAAGCCAAAATGGTACACCGATATTTAAGAAGGAAAGTGAATCCAAGCAGTTGCGATCTAAATCAATAAGCCTCAAGCCTTATGTTTCTCAATGTTATGCTCGCTTGCCTAGCTTTATGAATATTGCTTTGTTTTCTGTTTATGCATAGCCTTGAGTTGTTTGGTCCCCTCCCCCCACTTACATGCATGCGATCAGACAGGCCACTAAGGTAAAGCGTCTGCTCTATTATAGTGTTGAGAGCGTGTGTAGTGCTGCATCTTATGACAAGGGGGACAGACGAAGCTGGGATGTCAGGAAAATGGAAAAAAAAGGCACACAGGTTATTTGGGTGATTAGGTGGTGGGAGCCCAGGGCAAGGTGGAGGGCACAGAAGGGCTGGGGTGGGGTGTGTAGGAGGGAGGTGGGTGGGCTGCATGAGCAGAAGGGTGTTGTGTGTTGTATTGATGACGGACATTCTTTTCCATGGAAGATGGCCATGTGCGTCAGCTAGGTGCTTCATCACAGTCCCCTGGGATCTGTGGTTCTTTGGTTCTGGACTTTTCCCTGTCCCTTACTAGTAGATTCTGTTTCTTTGAACATTTATTAAGTGCCAGAATCCAGCCATTTCTTCCACCTGCTTCATGATGCCCGTGTTTGCTTGGGCTGCTGTTGCTTTCTGATCATCTTTTCTGGGTGGGGAAGGCCACACAGGGAGAACAGATGGACACATCTCTTCCTCTTCTACTTTGGTGCTTGTCAAAGGCAACCATGAAGAGCACAATAAAGGTCCTGGTTGGGAAGCACAGCAGAAATTTCGACAGCTTTTTTCTCAGCCCTGGGGAGGCAGGCATCTCTTACTCTCCTGTCTGTAAACCTGGAGGCACATACTCTGGCATGCTGAGTTAGGACCATAGCAGAGATGGACAGAGTCAAAGGGCTTCCCTTGTCAGTGGTGAGTGACTTATTCTCTTTATCTTCTCAGATCCAAGCACATTCATGATGGAACAACTTTGTTTAATTGACTTTATTAGTTGGTCCCTAAACGTTACTTTGAATACTAATCTCTCGGGTTCTGTGGGAGTAAGCAGAGATTTGGGGAAGCCAGTCTTGAGCAGCAGGAACACATCATGTAACCATGCTGTCCATTCTAAACCATGTGTTTCCTCTTCTATTAGTAGATCCTTGGGTAGGGGGCACTTTTTATTCAGTACTAAAATTTCCAAGGTAAGATATATGGATGATAACACGCAGCCTTCTTGGTGAGGTGCATAAGGGAAATGGGCCAGGGTATGTCCCTGTGTCCTTTGTGTAACAGAGCTCAGAGTCCATTTCCCTATCACACCATTTCTATAGACAATTTAGGAGCAAGGTCTATGAGCAAGATGGAGATCTGCAGAAGTAGGACACCCTGATGCGGAAAAGATAAGTTCAATCCTGGCTCAGACTTCTGTGCTCTGGGGGTCCAGTTGGTAGAAAACATAACCCTGTATGCTAAGTACTCTGAAGAGAAGAGCAGGCCTCATATACCTTCTAAGTACTTAGGAGAAACCGTTATCTCTGCCTGCAGGTTTTGTGTCTGTGTGTGTCAAGGGCTCTTCTTTGTTTTGCTTTGTGTTTTGTTTTGTTCCATTTTGCGGAGCTGGGCAGTTGAATCCGGGGCCTCTTTCATGCTAGGCAAGCACTCTGCCACTGTGCCACACCACCAGCCCTGACTACAGGCTCTAATAAACTGAGAACAAGAGAAATAAATACTTGGATACTAAGGAATTTGGAAATAGCTAAGGAAGAGGATTTTCCCTAGAAAGCTACTTTCAGTTCCAATCATGAAAAAGCCTCATTTACCTCACACTAGGGAATCTTGCTGTTTTAAAGCTCTCGTGGTGCTTTTGAGGGAAACTTCGGCAGAAAAATGAAGGGAATTGCTTTAATTTGCAATTCTAAGATGGGGGGGTGTATCAAGGAACTCAAAATAAATGACTTTTATATACAAAGGGAGTTGGCCAGATCTGAAGCATGTGTATACCATATACCTCAACAGCCAGGCTAGGCTTCAGCATAAGTTGCAGTACCAGCTATGGCCACCAGATGGAGGAAAAGACACGCAGCGTAATTGTGAGCCTCCGCTTCTGAACCACCAACTCTGGTTACCCAGGCCTGAGCACCAAGTCTCTCCAAGGCTTCTCTCTCTCTCACGAAAATAAATCTTTCTTAGGCTGATGATCATCTGCACTGCACTTGGAATTTCTTCCAAAATGTGGTATTGTGCCAGAATATAGTCTACTCAAACTTCCCACCTGCTAGGAGCAAATCTTGAAGCCCTCAAGGTAGGCAACACCATCCTAAGCTGCCTCCCTTTCTTTATTGGCCGCTAGTAACATTCAAGCACAGAAATTCTTGAGAATTGTGAGAGAAACTCCCCACCATTTTCTTAACATAAAAACTTTTCTAAGCAACATGGTACTTGAGTTAAAATTTATACTTAAAATTGTACTTCTCCTTAGACACATCAAATAGCTCCAGTCAGTGGGCTGGGGGCGGGGCTGTAAGTTGACTGGCACTTCATCCAAGGTCACACTGAGTGCTGCCTCAGTGTCATGAAGTTTTGCCATCTCATCTCTCAACTCAGCCCCTCTGAGAATACTCTGCTATCTCCCAACCTCCTCACATTATTTCTAAACCCAGGTGGCAATCCATTGCTATTCTCTGAGAGGGCCACAGGCTTAGGTGTTTGAGAAACTCCTTATGGAGCTACTAAATCAGCTCCCCCAGTAGAGAGATTTCTTTTACTTCTAAGTTTCCTGAAACTATAGGATTGTGGTCATCCTCTAAAATGATTATTTTTTTCTCTTCAAAGTCCAGTGATCCTTTGGGTTTTTATTCATGATCACACCCAAAGAACCACTCTCTTCTCTAGGGGCCTGAATTTTAACCCTGGGCTCCATTCTGCTCATCCTGAAAAGCCCCTTCCAAAAGGTGAATGAATAGTTCCCCACTTTGGTTCTTATCAAAAACTTCCCTAGCCTTCTCCCTTGGGCAGAGACAGCTTGAGCCCTGATCCAGTCATGGGCTGACCTGGGCAGCCAGCATTCCTTGTAATTCCCCTTTGAAACATGGTGTGTGAGTGTTTCAGTTCTGTGTCTGGTGGCTATGGACAGTGAGTCTCCCTGTGACCTGTGCTAGCTGTGAGGCAGCTCGGAACTCGAAGAGCTGTTTGGTTTGAACCGTGAAGAAAACTGTGTATTGAATTAGCTGAGATTAAAGAAAAAAGCTCATCAAGTGACTGTTAATGTAAACCTGGTTATTAAAATAATTATAAAATTACCAGCACTGTTGTCCAGTCTTTTGTGTATGATGTGCCATTTCACCTACTCTATTGCAACTTCAGGGGACTGGGAAGATGTTCAGTGGGTAAAGGTGTTTCTTATGCAACATGAGACGTGGATTCAGATTCAGACATGCACATAAAATGTCAGGCATGTCTACCACATGTGCCTATAATGCCAGTGATATGGGACACAGACAGGAGGATTGCTTGAGCTTGCCAGCTCCGGGTTCAGTGAGATATCCTGTCTCAAGGAGATAAGGCTGAGAGTGATAAAAACAGGACACCCGAAGTCCTCCTCTGCCTCCACATTCCTGCACATATGTGTTCCACCCCTCACAAGTAAGTATATGTTTACCGTACACACATATACACGCACACAAGGAAAAAAAAAGAAGAAAAAGGGAAAGAAGGAAACTGCATATCTGATAAGCAACCTGATATTGAGCTGTTGGGCCAGTGAGTTTGATGACCACAACAGAAACTTAGGAGAATGATTAAGATGTGCCAATAATCCATCGCATTTACTATTGGTGTGAAAAGCATCATCACCAGAATTAACCATCACATTTAGTACTGGTGTAAAATGCATTATCATTGGAATAAGGCTAGCCGCCTCCAAGACAGAATCTAGAATGATTTTTCTTTGTTTAGATCTTTGTTTTTGGCTTTTTTAGCTTTGGCCATCCTGTTATTACGTTGCTCTGTGAGCATTATCTGTTTATTTCCAAAAGCCAGAGAGGAGGAAAAACTCCAAATAAATAGATTCTAAATATTTTCTTTAGCAAACTGATCTCCAGGGGTCCAATGAGTGTCTGAAAAGATTATCTGTTATGTACACTCTTCTGAGAGCCTTGCATTGCACATCAGAAGGCTCTGATGATTTGTATAGTAAGTCTTTAAAATTTTGTCCAGGCCTGGAGATGTAGCTAAATGGTAGAGCACTTATCTAGCAGGTAAGGCCCCAGGTTAGATCCCCAGCACTTCCAAAACAAAAATCAGCACAAAGCAAAACAAAGAAAATTCAGGGTTCTCTAATCATTTGGGCTAATGAACTCTTCCATGTTATTTCCCTCTGCCCCCTGTTGGGAAACACTCCTGAATCCAGTTCTAATTTGTGTAGATTATTTTTAATTTAAAGATCAGCCTAGTATATGGGGGTGGAAGAGTGAAAAGCTTGGAGACAGAGTTGGGCAGGCCCAGCCTCGGTGGATCTAAGTGAGGAACTCGGGCTGCTTTCTGTCTCAGTCCAGCTTGCCTTTAGTAGGTACTCTGTCTCAGAAAAGCTCATTCCACATGGAGGCAAAACTGGTTATTAGCATCTCTGGCTTTTCATTTTACCTGCTTAGTAACTCCAGAAAGAGGAGAGAGTTTCTATCAATATTCCAAGACAATAAGATTAAGTTTGGTTGAGTTGCCTCGGGTCATATACTATGAACTAGTCACTGTGGCTAGAAAAGAACATGGAATTAACTGCTCATAACTGGTCATATGCCAGCCATGCTTCACTAGAAACACATCAATGTAATAACTATCATATCAATGCAATAAGAAACACATCAATGCAATAAAGCAAATCATTGTGATTCCAGGAGAAGTGATGGGTGCTGAAAGGGTGGAAAATAGGTAGGCTCTGGTCCCAGTCCCAAGCCCATGAGACATGACTGTCTAGCCCATTGCCCTTTGTGCATATGCTGGAGCAGGTCTAGGAGTGAGTTGAGTGCCCAGAGGATGGCAATTCCCAGTTGTTTTTATGTGTGATTATTCCCTCTTGGTTTTGTAGGACAATGCCTTTGATACAGGAACACAAATATGACTTTCAACATAGAAGTTCAGGAAGCAGTCTAAAAGCTACTCTAAGAGTATAAGTAATTACTGTTCAATTGAGGTTTCATGTTTAATAAGCTTTGGTCCATAGTTATCTGTTATGGTTAAACTCATGATCAGTGAAACACTTCTCCCTTCTCATTACCAAGGAGCAACTCAGCCTGTTAAAAATTTGAGTGGGCTTATAGGGGTTGTCATCATTTACAATGAACTTTGTCTGCAGGGCTCTAAGAGGGATGAAACAGCTTTTTAAAAGTGTTGGTGGAAGGTGCATTGTCTAGCATTCATAGCTCCAGAGGCCAAACTATTCAGCACCTGATCATGCTGACTAGGTCAGGGATGAGAATGCTGAACAGGAATAACAAGGGCCCTTTGGTTCCAAAGAACTTTCAGGAATCACCTCTCCTAACACCAACACATCACAAGGAGAACACCAACCTGAGCAGAAGACGGAGGATAAAAGGACCAGAACACACCTCAAAATGAGATCTCATACTTAAGGCTGGTTCGCCTCAGAATCTAAAGAGTGCCAGACCTGCCCTTTGCTCAGCTGGCTCCTGGGAACAACATATATGATACTTATTTAGCTTGACCCAGACACAAGAGCAGTCAGTATGCAGGACTTCAGAGCCCATAGGATCGGAAGAGCCCACTGACTCCAGGACAAGCCCATGAACCTAGAGCTTTATGACTGTGGAGCTATTGTGAGTCCGAGAGTAGCTGATAAGCTCAATTTCTCGCCTAAGGCAGAAGTTGCCTTGAGATGCGAAAGTTCAAGATGTCCGTTATTTTCCTGTTCCAGATTATGGGCTTTGAAATAGCCACTTGTTGCTCTGGTATAAGGAATGAAACAGGACCCTGAGGAGTGGAGAGCAGCAGAATGCTCAAAAGAAAAGCGGTATATGTGCTGTCTAGGAACTTGAGGTCACAGGGAAAGGCAGAGACTAGAATTCGGACTGCATTCCTTCAGTGAACCCTAGAGGAGTGAGACAACTTAGTTCTTACATATGTGAGTCAATTAAAAATGTATGTAGTTACAGATCATTATCTCAACACCAGCTGGTCTCTGCTAAAGAGACATTCCTTTCAAAGGGAAATAGAAGTAAGAATAGGCACAGCCAATGCTACTTCTAGGGAAAAATACACCCATACACATACATACACACATATACACACATGTTCTAATTTGTTTCTCCATTTCTGTGACAGAATACTCTGACCATACCAACTTGGGGAGGAAAAGGTTTATTTGTCTTACAACTCCCAGGTCATAGTTCATCAGGGTGGGAACTCAGAGCAGAAACCTGGAGGCAGGAGCTGGAGCACAGGCCAAGGAGGATCACTGCTTACTGACTTGCTCTCCTGGCCCCTGCTCAACCTGCTTTCTTATACAACACAGACCCACCTGCCCAGGGGTGGCACCACCCACAATGGGCTGCGCCCTTCCACATCACTCAACAATCAAGAAGATGCCCCACAGACATGGCCATAGGCTAGTCCTATGGAGGCAATTCCCCAATTGAGGCTCCCTCAACCCAGGTGTGTCAAGTTGACACTAAATCTCTCCAGCACAATATACACGAGCACATGCACATACACTCATATGCACATGTACGCACATACATATGCAGACTCATGTACACACATGTACACATATATGCACACACACAGCTGACAAAGGAAGGTCAGGGCATACTGATACAGAATGCATTTTAATACATGCAGGCACATCCACATTACATGTTCTACAGCTCAACAGGTGCACAGAGTTCTCATTCAAGGGCTTCCAAATCAGCTACCAGTTCATAACAGCATAGAAAAATGAAATTTAGAGTTTCAATGTCAATGTTTAACATCAGGGAGATGCACTGAACAGTAATCACAGATGGACAGATGTAGGAAACAGGACTTTGTGTAGACAGAATTCAGGAACAGCTAATGCTTTTCAAGACTTTACATTCACCTCCTAAAGCACTAGCAGTTAGCATTATTATGCATTATTATGCCAACCACAGGCAGCAGCACTTGTTCATGAATAGCTATTTGATCCTTTCTTCCTACTTATGCATACACCCACTAGGAAAGTCACAGGGATTGGAAATCTGGTCATTTCTGATTAAAAACTTTCTATGAGACAAAGCCTGACCATTGATTAATAAGATTACTGTGATTAATTTAGCAATGCTCTGTGCTGTTTGAAGTTCATTCCTGCAAAAAAAAAAAAAAAAAAAATGACCTCGGCCCAAACCAGGGCTGCTGTGGGGGCCCTTAACAAAGCACTTCCTTCCAGGAGTGGGTATCATGGCCAGGGTTACCCCACGGCTAGCTGCCTGGCTCTCTACTCCTCTTCACTGAGAATGCCCTGGAGATGGCAGCTCTGTTGCAGTGCAGGGGTGTTACAGCCAGGACGCTCTGGTCTTTAAGCCCAGCTCAGACATTTTTGATGCCTTATACAAGTAAGGGGAGGAAGTGCTAGGAGAAGACTCTGGAAGTGACAGACAAAAGGATTAAGTAGCCACACTTCTCCAAACTTCTCATCCCTAAACCTTCTCACAGTATAACTGAGGGACATTTCATTTGGTGAGCTGTTAACTTAGTTCAGATTAGTGAATAAAAACCAAAGGATCTGGCTTTAAAGGAGCCATCACCATAAGGAGTTTGGAAAGATGTATGTGTGTGTGTGTGTGTGTGTGTGTATTTAAAACAATCTTTATTCTTTAAGATGCTCAATAATGGATAGTGCTTAAAATCAATTATTCTGCACTGCCAGATCTGATGATTTTGTGCCTTGTGGTGCAAAGGAGCTAACCCAGTCCTTCATCTATGCTAAGCACACATTCTACTAGTGATATACAGAGCTAACCCAGTGCTTTTTCTTTTTCAATTTGAAACACATTGTGTGTCATTCATCTGACTGGAATAGAAATATATTCAACTTCTATACTGTCAGTGTCATAGTCAGTGTAACCATGGTTCTAAAAGCCAATGTGCCCAGAAAGCCTGTCATTGGGAGTAAACACTAGGGATTCAAACTAGAGAGATTGCATGGGTTTCAATCCCACCTTAAATTGTACAGACATGAAACAGCCCACAGGATTAACTCTCATCCTGCTGGCCCTGCTGTCTCTTGGTAAACATTTCTGACAGATGCTCCTTTAGAAGATGCAAACAAGGTCCCGGCAGAAGGAGGAGTCAATTGACTGGGAAGTGAACCCATAGCACATCGGACTGTCAATAAGGACAAACAAAAGATGGAGCCGGAATATGCAAGAGGTTCCTGACACCTGTAGGGGCCAGCCTGGAGAAGACTCTGGTCACCTTCATATTGCTGCTCTTTTCAACCCATTTTCCCTTCAGGAAGAGAGTCAGAATATGTGCTCTGCATTTAAATGTGTTTCAACAAAACCAAAACATCAAAGACAAATAACATGGGAAATGTAGCGATCAGGAGTCAGACAAGAGGTGACTTTTGATTCTTGAACAAAAGTATGGCTTCTCTTAGACAGGCACTATTTCACAGCCAGGTCAGAAATTTTGGGCCCATTAACTCCATAGAAGGAAAGCTACAAATGCTGTCGTTTGGCCTTAAGTTCTGCCCCGGCTTTTCTACACAGGTTAGTTGCCCCAGCGTAACCTAGCGTCCATAATGGGCAGGTAGTCCTATCTCTCCTTTCACTTCTCTGTTACCATCTGTCTGCTTCCCAAAAGGTCATCAGTAGAGTCCCTTGGTTGTCATCCTACTGCCATCATGGTGGTGGCTGTACATGCTATAAACAAGGACAAGTTTAGATGAGTTTCTAGGAGCTGAAAACAAACTTTTGTAAAGCTCACTTCTTGCCTCTAGGCTGCCCAAAATAGCTCTTTAAAGATCTCATTTGTATCAGTACATAGCAGTACAGTGCAGCTATATCACATGCACATTTAAGTGACTCACACTTTGCATATAAGTCAAATATAAAGAAAGGAAAGAGTGAGACATCAATAGCATTGTCAGCACCCAGGCAAGTCTACCTGCCATCTTACACTGAGCATAATATAGGGGCATCAGTTTCCATGAACTTGACCTCTGGGATGTGTAGACATCCTGTTCTTCTAAGTATATATATATATATACTTAGTCTATAGATATGTTTAAATAATTCTATATTGATCAAGAATAAAAGACCAAACAAAATAAGAATAGTGGCATGCTTAATGACAGAAAAGCATCTCACTGAACTGTTTCACTGAGAAAAAGTGCTTCCTTTATGTTATGTGGAGTTAGAGATTTTTGAAGAGTTAAGTTGTACTAGCTTCTTAATTCACTTTAACTTGCAAGATAACTCTCCGGTAAGGTGTGACCTCACTGAACTATGTGAAATAATCATGCTTTCAGTGACAATATTCTCTGATCCTCTCCAGAAGTATATCTCTGCTGATCTTCAGAAGAAAATTAGCCCCCGAGGGGCAAGCATATGGGAACATGGCAACAGAGTCCAGTATTTTACAACCGCCTTGCTAAAAGAAAAATAATGTGTCCTGACTTGCAGCATTTTCTAACTTCCATATGGGGCTCCTTCCATCATTACCAAGTTCAACTAACCAAGGCCATACCACTAGAGGAAGTTGAGAAAACATGTCTATGCTACTTCTAATCTAAGCTTGCACATTTATTCTTGATGGAATTCTTTATTCCTATGCAATCAGGCTTTGGAGTTCGGGCTTCTGTATGATATCCTCTAACCCCGAGGAGGCTCCCTGTATGCAATATCCATTTGTCACAGTGTAATCAGAAAGACTGAAAAAATAAATCTACATGGAAATATTCATTTTTTGAAATAAAAATAAAAGCTGTTTAGAATAATAATTGCATAACAAGGGAAACACTAGCTCATCTATGCTAATCTCCTTTCAGGGGGTAAACTAAAGCAGAGACAGGTTAAAGAGTTTTCTTGGGGTCACAGAGCTAATTAGTGGTGAAATGAGATTTGAGGAGCTCAGAACCAGGGGTCTCTTCACTGGAGAGTGCTGCCTCCTTTGAAGTCATTCACAGTTTCTAAGTCATGTGGTATGGAATGGCAAGAACTACTACGGCTCTTCTTGATGTGAATCAGAAGTTTCCGGCCAGGTACCAAGAACTGTCTCAAGAAGCTGTTGAGGCTTTACAGGTTGTTATTCTGACCATCCTCTTCCTGGGGGTTTTTGGGTTGTTCCAAGGCTATATTTGCTTGCCTTTTATTAAAGTCTTTTTTCACTCTTAAAAGAAAAAAAGAGAGTATTGTTATTTCAAAAGAGAAATGAGTTTAAACTTTTGAAATGATAGCCTATAACTCGAAAATTTATAAAGAAGTATGAGCTAAGGAGATCATTAAAAGATGTTGCACTGCACTGGCAAGCTAGCTCAGCCTGCAAAGATTCTTGCAACCAAACCTGGCAATCTGAGCTCACTTCTCAGGACCCACATGGTAGAAGGAGAGAACTGACCTCTGCAAGTTGTCCTCTGACTTCCATATATATGTATGGGTGAATATACACCACATACACACACTACATAAATGTATATTTTTAAAAAGGTTTTTAAAAAGTCATTGTGTTTACAACCTAGTTCTTTGCCCTTCCCATAAGCAAAAATATGATACTAGGTTAAGTTACCAATTTAAAAAGTACTGACAAGAAAAAAGATTTCTGAATTTCCAAACTTTTATAATAGATTTGCATCATTTTTATAATCAGAAAACTAGAAACTGTTAAAAATGCATTGTCTATGTAAATAAAATCTGTTGAAAAACATCATTTTTTTAAGCTGATAGTCTCCCATGAGTTACTTACTTTTCTCTGTTGAAAATTATAAATTCCTTCTGGACAGTTTCAAGGTGCTCTCGAAGAAGGCATGTCTTCAAGGTGAACATTGGAAAAATAGAGGTATACTTAGCAGGTGAGTACCAACTCTGAACAGCCATAAACATACAACGTATTCACCAAGCAGCCTAGGTCTAAGAAGTACTGAAATAGTTTCCAAATGGAAGCAGAGTCTGGGAAAAAAGGCATAGGGGCGATCCTCCCATCTAGGCAATTGCACTGGCAGCATCTATTGTAATGATTCTGGAACTCTGGATGATACTGAGTGCTTATAGCTTCCACTGGTAAGGCATGAGTGGTAAACTGAAGGTTAATTACAACATCACCCCTAACACCCTAGTGGTTACCTATCAACCACCCTCCATGTCCCTGGAAAGGACCTCTGCACTTGTTCGTTTAGCAGTTTGTAACATATTTTGCAGGAGACATGATGAAAAATAAGGACTATATCCTTCAAATGCTGAGGATCTCTGTTCTGATAGCTGACTACTGATTGGAATCACAAGGGTACAGTACAGACAAATAGCCATTTTAGCTGTCCCTCCCCTCATTTTTATAAGCCCCCAACATCAGTCAAAAGCAGGGTACTGAGATGACCTCCCAACAGCATCTGTGAAATGGCTTGCATCACCCTGAGCTTGGGGTGGACCTGTCTACCTCAGAGGATTCGCATTTCCTCATCTCCTTCTCCTTTTTTGCCAGGCGCTTCTTTTTCTTATGAAGAGGTTTGGACTCCAAAATCATTTCTTCAAGTTCAAATGTGGGGTCGCAATTCAGTCTGCCTTTCTGCAAGAAAGACGAGCATGGCTCAGTCCTCAGGTTCCTGCATCATTCTGAAAACATACCAGACCTAACACAGAGAATAACACTCAGTCCTAATCGGGCAGTCAAAAAATAAGCATGGATTCCCACTTGACACTTTATATCATTTATTGCCAGCATTATCTTCAACTTTTTTGACTGCATAGTTTGCTTATTTTTATAAACTTCTAACTAGCCTTCAGTGAGTAATAAAGGAAACCAAATTAAAATTCTTTGAGGTGTGGGCTTCTGGGTTTCTCAGAGTTTGTTCTAATGACCATGTAGCTCAGAATCACCTCAATGGCTTGCTCTGCTTCTAAAGTGTCCACCAGATTTAAAATCAGCGTTTCTGACCATGAGGCCATGAATCTGCCCTTTAATAAGTTCTTCAGATGATTCGAATTCACAGAAAGCCTAAGATCCGTACAGCATTTCATAAGGCACCAGGAATGGCTAACAGAAGGAAGGAGGGAGCCTCAGTGGGTGGTACCAAGAGTTTGCTGCAGTCATCCCCCAACCCTGTACCTACATACACCTGCCTGCACGTTCCTATTGCTCACTAAGGTAAAAAGCCACACCCTCAGAATGCTGTCACACTGCTCTCTCCTCTCTTCACTGAACTTTCACCTGATGCACTCACTTGGGCATCTTGCTCAGCTGTTCACAGGAACAACTACACACACTCTCACCTCTCCAGAATAAGAGCCTTCCTTGGACTTGAACAGAAAACTTAGAGTTGTTTTCCCAAGTCTCTGTAGGAGCACATTATTCTTCCCAATGTTCCTGTACTTAGTTTTGCAATTCAAATTCCAGGCAGGGAAGGAGCTCGAGGCCTCAGTAGGATCCTGGCCTACGCATTAACCCACAGTCTGTAGTGGGACACAAAGTCCCTTATTTGGGTACCCATTCAGTGCAAATTATTCCTCTGTGATTATTTGTTCCTAAAAATATAGATCCATGAGATAAAACGAACAAAAGATGAGGCATGAATACAAACCTTCTCCCTAACCTCAACAGCCTTCAACCTTCTGATTCAGACCTCTGTGGATATCAATGACTAACTTTTTGCAACAAGAAAAAGGAATACATTTTGTTCCAACCAGAATATTCACGGAAATGATTATTTTGGAGACTAGAAACTTTCCAATAAAAGTACAGCAGAAAATATGGTTAGAACCTATAAACCCAGATGCGAATATACCTGGATATCCCAGTTTAGCCCCTTGCCAATTGTGTGACTTCTATTGAGCAACTTACCCCATGTGTGCCTCAGTTTCATCATCTGTAAAGCTGGTATTGGGCATTTTTATAACACTGGTGGGATCATCAAATGAGAGGTGGACTTGGCACACAGACTAATGTGAACATAGTATGGGAACTATTAGGGTTTGTTAGGAGTGACTCACATTAGGAATAAATCCTGGAATAAGCCTCTTCTGCAGAACCGCATCCCAGTTCATATCACTCATATAAGGAAAGTTCTGAATGTCAATCAAGTGAGAAAATCGTTGATCTGGATTAGGTTCAAGTAGCTGCCAATGAAATACAAGCATCCATATCACAAGGGAGGTCAGACAAGTGGGTAGTCTTAAAATTTTCTTCTAAGTGTTATAAACTATAGGACTTTACTATCCAAGGGGAGTCCCTTGTGGCAGAAAGGGAGCAAAAGTGGTTTCACAAGGCAATATCCTCTCTATGTACATCATTAGAGAATATATAACTTTGGATTCCAGTAGAAGTAGCATTTGCAATGTAATGGGTACAAATAGCTTGTCTCATGAATTAAACAAAGCTTCAATTCTTGAATCTCTTATTGGGTAAGTGTGTTTACTAAACATCAGTCCAAATCATGAAAAACAGTATGAAGTGAGCATAGCTTTACACAATTAAGACTTGAAGTTATGCTTCAGAAATGATGTAAAATGGCCAGTAATTTTCCTATTTGTTTGCTGTTTGTATTTTTGCCTTGATTTCTGACCCATTCAAACCAACATGTGGTCTCATTGCTCTTGGCTCACATGCAGCTCCACACCATGTCCACTATAGACTGAAGTTTAATAGCAACCAAACAAGTTTTTTTCCCCATCCAAGCAGACTAATCAATTGACGCTGAGACAATATAGTATTTACTAGACCAGTGTCAAATTTCTGTGTTTCCAAATGATTCTCTTAGTTCTGATACTTAAAAAGAGCTTGTAGAAAGCAATTTGTGGAATAAATCAGTGAATGGCACTAATGATTTTAGGGAAGGAGCTAGAAAGCCAGGCTGGAAACAGTGATCTAGGAAGAGAGGGTAGCATGTGTAAAATTTGCGTAGAGATGTGAAGCTGAAGAAGGGGAAGAGAAGGAAAAACAGAAAGTCAAGCCAATCAAGGGATGACAAAAATTCAAACTAAGGCTTAAGAGGCAGTTAAAAACTTGTAGCACACAATGCAGTTTGATCTTTATTCTAAGACCAAGGAGAAAGATGCTGGAGTATGGAAAAAGCACAGAAGAGAATGGAAGGGCAGAAGTACCTCAGACAGATCAGTTATGAGAACAGATGGATGGCAGCTGGATTAGGGAGATGGTCATGGACAAAACTAAGTGAGGGTCAGTAGATATTCAGGTGTAAATTTCAATGTGTGGCGATGGATTGGGCACAGAAATAATGAACAGACTCTGGTATCTGGCTTGCACAGATGGAGTGATGGAGGGGCCAGTCATTGGGAAAGGTAACGTTGGATGAAGCCCAAGAAAAACAAAGAGATTAACAATGCCATTTTGGACACGGTGAACTTGAAGAGGCATTGAGACAGCTGAAGGTTGATTGTAGGTTGAAGTAATAAAGGCATACGTTTGAAAGCGGTCAGTTGCAAAAACCATTTTACAGATGTACGCTAGCCTGGCTGTGTCTATATTGCAGAAGAACTTTGAACCTTAAGTCAGAACTCAGGTTTCCTATCATGACTTCCAACACGATGCCTCCTGTCTCACCTTTTTAAGAAGGGACACCATCTCTTGGGACCAGGCAGAAGGATAAGTCACAATTGCTGTTTCAAACATATGCACAATTTCCTTGCTGGAAGTACTGGAGCGGATGTGATATGGTCTCTTAAGGAAGAAAAGTGATAAGAGGCTTCATTTTTTTATAGGTCAAAGGAATATAAAAGGTGCAAGTATTTGCTAAGATTTCAAAGAGGAAAATATCAACAATAATCCCTCAAGCTGATTGACAGGTAGCCATACAGGATATATGGTCAAGTGTTGCCAGAACTCCTACAATTTTTTAAAGAAATATCATAAACCTAAAATTTCTCATAAAAATGATTGCTTTAATAATTAATAACCCTACAGATACAAATAAAATATTTCAGCGGGTTGAATAAGCCTCTGAGATACTGATTTCAATTTGCTTTGTAAGCAACTTATACAAGTATACAAGTAACATACAAGTATACAAAACATATTCAGTTTTACATAAAACTGAATAGTGAATAGAAAAATTTGTAATTAGTACCTAAGGTGGGTTATAAACAGATCCATAATTTTACCATAACCTCTTTTTCACTTGTTTGAAACATAGTGGAAGCTGAGTGTGGTGGCACTTGTGCCTGTAATCCCAGCACTTAGGAGGTAGAGGCAGGAAGATGTAGAGTTCAAGGCCAGCCTTAGCTACATAGCATAGCAAGTTCAAGACCAGCCTGGCCTAAAGAGACTCCTTTAAAGCAATAAACCAACCAAAAACCATGTAAAAAGGAAGCATAATGAAGTTAAGAAAACACCTCAGAAGACATCAGTTCCAGTCTCAAATATTCTAGGTGTCTCTGGTTCTATGGAATTCACAGTGGAGAATTTTATGGTGGGCTAAAAGCTTAAAAAATAAACAAATAAATAACAAAAAAAATTTTCCAGAAAATTCAGGTTCATCTGTGGCTTTAGCTGGGTAAAAGAATTAAACACCAAATTGAAATATGTATGAAAATTCCCATTTGGCAGCCTGTTATTTTGTAACTTTTTTTAAGAGCTTCATTGTGATTCTTTCAGCTGTCCACTAGAGGGAAGCCTTTATCGCTTCTACTTTACTGGGCTTTCCTGTCTTCTACGGGAGCTGCAAGCAAATTAAAGCCAGAATATTCTATACTCACATTCACGGTCCATGGAAACAAAACTTCCATATTAGATTAATAATAGGACAGTTAATATAGATATGCACATTTGCCACATGCCTGTTTTTTTCCAGATGTTTAAATTATCACTGAATTGGAGGAAGGGAAGTGTTTCATTTTTCTCTGTAGCCAATCATGAGATAACACAATGCAACCATGTGTTGGAGCTCTGGGGTCAGAAGGATTTGGGTGCTAAGCAGGTCACTCGTTTCTGAGCCTCAGTTTCTTCTTCTACAAGATAAAGCTACTTCGTCTGCAAAATGAACCACTGTATAAGGTTACGGAGGAGATCTGAAGAGCTCATGTATGTCACTCTCTATGGAGTGACAAATAATGCTCATCTGACAACGGCACAGAGCGATTTTATTTTCTGTGTATAGCAAAGAGAAGACATAAATGTGAAGACTGACTAACAAGAGGCATCTTCAATAACAGTGAGGTGAAGAAAGGCTTACTTCCACACATGGCAAGTCAGAATAGATTACTCAAGAAGTGCCAGGTGACCTCCCCCACCCCAAAGGAAAATTAGGTCATATTTCTCAGGTTTTGAAAGATCTAAAAACAACTGCCGTACATTTTTCTTTTCTCTAGACTAATTAAAGGACTGTAGCTAAACTACTTGGTAATGATGGGGACATAGGGCCTGGCCTAGGTATCAGGAAACAAGTGCTAGAAGCCCTATCTCTACAACCAAAGTTGACTCTTACTGGCCAGAAGCGCTGTGGCTTATTCCATAGGATTTGTCCATGAGAACCAGAAAGATTCAGCCCAGGCTTAACATATCCAAGTTCACAGGGCTATATGCATAGGCAGACCTATGTCCTTTTCTTCTAAGTTTTTTCTCTATTTCAAATCATTGCTACTTCTGAATCTATTATCTATTGGCCATCTAGAAAACAAAATGATTTGATAAACTTGAGTTAATTAACCTATGAATGCAAGAAGTAACTAAAATTTTGTGTTTCTCTTTAGTACAGGAGATTATGTGATTGATGCAACATAAAAAAAAACATGCCATATCGATTCATAGAAAAATCAAATTGCATCTTTTTCATTTACTCACCTTTCCTAGTCCTAAATTTTGAAATTCACCTGAATTCATCAACTATCAAAATTATGTATTTATTCATTTGTCAAACACTTATTGAATACCTTCCACATTCTAGCACCTCTTCTGGGCACTGTTTAAGCAAGGAAGAACAGGGAAAATGATGATTGTTATGTTAGTAAAGCCTAGAGTCTACATAAAGAAACAGAAAATACTTACATAGAGCGCACAGATACATGCTCTTATACCACCACCACAGGCACACACACTTAAATAAATTGGATACAAGGAATAAAGAAAAATTACAGTGCAGGAAAGGTTATATCAAAGAACAATAAGTGGGTTATCAAGTAAGAGGCAGAATATGTAACAAATGAGGCTGTAGAAAAGGTTAGGTATTAGAAAGAACTAAATAGTGTCTTGTGATTGTGGTTTAGGAGTACAAAAAACAAAATAGTGTCAGAGAATGGAATGGCATAAGCCTGTTATTCCAGCCCAGGACCCAGGAAGCACAGGCAGTAGAATGAGGAGCTTGAGGCTAGCCTGGGGTACAAAGTGACTCTCTTTAAGAAAGAAAAAGAGTTGCAGCTATGGTACAAAGCTACAGAGGTAGCTGTCTGGAGTTAGTATTTATGGACAATATACAACTATAAAAGACAGGCATCTTTGCCTTTCAATAGCAACAGGGCCAGAGAGACAGAGACAGCAAATAACGTTAATAGTTAAGGGCAGATTCACCAAAATAGCAACCAAGTTCAGAAACTGCAGGGGTGTTTTCAAACACATTCTCTCTTTGGAACACTTTTTTTTTTCTATAGATAAAACTTTGCAAATGAAGAAGAAGTTGTGGCTTGGCACACTTTCTCTGTGGTGTAGTTACTATAATATCTGTAATTAAATGTTGGTATTTCATTTTCTTCACATTAGGTTATTTTACAACATAATCACATATCATCTCCTTGATGATTCTTTCCTAGAATGTGTCAAAATTGATTGATAGTGATTTGCTCCTCCACTCACTCAATAAACTCTATTACATATTGAGGAAAACTTACATACTGTCGATAATATTGTATTATGCAAGATACATGCCCTACTTTTAATGAACTAACAATCTAAAAATGTAGAACAAAGAAAATATAAAAACTGATATGCTTGGGAAAATGTGTAAGGTAATTTACAAAATACATTTAAACATAAAATACATTGAGATATTACAATATATAAAGTTATATATATATAATATAAATCTCAACAGAAAGTTAAAGTACGGTTCTATTTTGTTGAAAGATATCTATATATCATCATATGAAAATATCTCTGAAAATAGATTACCCATATGAAAATAGAAATATATGATAGTGAATGTAACAGACTGTTAGGATTTTAGACAGTCTCACTATGCAACCCAGGCTAGCTTTGAACTCATGGTAATCCTCCTGCTTGATACTTCCTAGAGCTGGGTTTCTCATTTTGTGCTACCATAACCAACTTCAAACTGATGATTTTTGAACCAGAGTCTTGAAGAGAAGTATTTTTTGCTCTCAGAATAAGTTGATTCTTTCATTTTTGTGCTTTTCTATATTTTCCAATAAGATTAGTCTACATATAGTTTGTTAAAGGAGGTATCATTTGCAACCATAGGGCCAACTTTTTTTTTTTTTTTTTGTCTTTTTGAGACAGGTCTCCCTCTAGTCCTAGCTAGCCTGGAACTAGCTATGTAGACCAGGCTGGCCTTGAACTCATACAGACCTGCCTACCTCTGCCTCCTGAGTGCTGGGATTAAAAGTGTGTGCCACCATGCCTGGCTTAATAGAGCCAATATTTTAACAGGAAGAAACCTAGAGAAGGTGTGTGTGTGTGTGTGTGTGTGTGTGTGTGTGTGTGTGTGTGTGTGTATACTCTCTAAAGGAAAGGTCAATTTTCTGCTTTCTAAAAATGAATTTGTCAATGCTGATACATCAGATCACAGGGAGCGACCGTGAAACTAAAATAATACGGAAGGAAAGAAGAATGATGATTTTCTGAAGCTATGTAGTCTTTGTTTCTCCAATGTGTTGCAGAAGTGGAGTCAGGATATCATTCCCCTGAAACACAGAAGGAGCTAGATGGGAAGCCTTGAGGGCTTTGTTTTGGGAGAAGAATTGGAGGATGAGGTTGGAAGGAATGGAAATGTTTCTGCTTTTTGAAGCGATTCTCTTCCTGCTTCTCATTATAATCATGAATATCATAGACATTTCTTAAATTTCTTTAGAAAATGGGACAGAGCCATCATAGCAAAGAAACAGGTAATACTGAGACTGCTCATTGGCTGACAAAGGGGACCTTCTTTCATTCCTATGAATTATTCATCAAAATTCAGATATGTTTAAAAAGTGGGACTATTGTGATCTCCCAGGGAAGGTCAGTGGGAACCTGAACATATCATTGTGCTGTGAGATGAACTCTGTGGAATGAATGAAGCAGATAAGTGGTGAGTTATTCTCTTCTTTGCTTCTGTAAGATTAATGAAGCCATTGGATCATGGTGAAACAGCCCCAAGCTCTTAGTAATTGTTTGGTATATGAGTTGGCCAATTAGTCATGATATAGTACTCTTAATATACAAGTTATAGTGATACGGGACTAGGAAGAGGGCTGTGGCCTGAATTGGAAAGAATAACTCCAAAGGCTAGGTAGGCTATGCTATCTGGATGATGACTTGAGACTCAATTCCTTGGTTCTGTGGGATAGCTTAAACTTTTACAGTCATTAACACAACAGTCTGTAGATTGGACAGTGAGAACATACAGCCTACATTGCCCCTTCACAATTCAAAGCTTTTATACTCAATATGACTGTATTTAGAAATAGGTCCTTTGGTGAGTAATTGTAGTTACATTAGGTCATAAAGTTGAGAGGCTCATGGTGTTAATTGGTGGCCTAATGATGATGACGATGGTGATGATGATGATGATGATGATGATGGGACAAGAGAGAGAAAAGAGAGAGAAAGAGAGAGAAGGGGAGAGAGAGATATCTTTCTCCATTATGTGAGGACACAGACAGAAGACAGCCATCTGTGAGTCAGGACACAGCCCTCACTAGAAATTGACTGCTTGACACCTTCCCAGACTTCTAGCCTTCATATTTTAGATAATACATTTTTTTAGAAGTTAATTAAGTATCTGTCCTAACCAGTTTAGACTTTGGTACTGAGAGGTGAGATGTTGTTATAACTACCGAAATGTGGAATCAACTCTGGAAATGGCTAATGGGTAGAGGTAGGAAGACTTCTGAGCTGTATATTAGAAATATAGATATGAAGGGCAATTCTCATCAAGTCTCCAACAGAAATGAAGACCATGGTATAGGAAACGGGAGAAAAGTGATTCTTGTTACAAAGTGGCAAGTTACTTGTCTAAACTGTGCTATAATGTTGTGTGGAAGGTGGAACTTATAAATAATGAAACTGAACATTTAGCTGAGATTTTTTTTTTATTGGTCTTTTTGAGACAAGGTCTCCCTGTAGCTCCAGCTGTCCTGGATTCACTATGGAGACCAGGCTGGCCTTGAACTCACAGAGATCCCCCTGCCTCTGCCTCCCAAGTGCTGGGATTAAAGGCGTGCACCACCACGCCTGGCAGCTTAGCTGAGATTTTTAAGCAAAAGTTTTGGAGTGGCTTGGTTCTCCTTATTGCTTTTAGTAAAATTCAAAAGATGAGAGATAAATCATAGAAAACTATTGAGCAAAAAAGAAGCAGGCATTGAAAATTTGTAAAATTATTTGGTTTATCTATGTTGCAAAATAAATCAAAGCAAAAAAACAAATACAATCCAAAACATGACAAAAAATAAGAGAGAATAAGCTCACAAACGTCTTCTTTTAAAGAGAACACTAAGGTTAAGGCTGGACAACTGATTAGACAATGCTGATGGACTTACAGCCTCTCAAACAAAGGCAGCGATGAAGGTGGGATTATACCAGCAGAAATACCGTTGGTTTGAAACACAGGGCATGGCAAAGCAGATTGGAGTGAAGGAAAAGTGTCAGACTTCAGAAGACAGGATCATATGTTATCTGACTGTCAATGTGCACTATGCTTCAAGTCAAGGGAAGAAGTACTCCAATGATGATTCAGAGACCATCAATACTGCCAACAGGGAGCACAGACTTGGGGCTTAGGGCTGCCTCTACCTCAGTTTCAAAGGGCAGAACCACTATCTAACCCAGCAGAATGAGTAGGCAGAGACCCATGTGGTCAGATCCCCTGCAGAGCCACACAAGTGAATCTCTCACACCAGGAATAGGAGGGATGTTATCAGCCCAGGAGACCTGGAAGCAGGTAATTAAATCAAAGCTCATTCTTTTTGTATTTATTATTTGTTGAGACAGAATCTATTACAGCTCTGGCTGGCCTGGAACTCTCTACATAGACCAGACTGGCCTCAAACTCACTGCCCCCTCAGTGCTGAGATAAAAGGAGTATACCACCATCATGGCCTATTTTTGTATTAATTAGCATATAATATTTGTGCATATTTGTGTGGCTGAGTTTCTAATTCAATATATAACTATAGTGTACACCGATCAAATGTTTTTATTTCTATGAGTGGGAACTATCAACATTTTTTCTAGGGTTATTCTGAAATGTGTGATTAATTGTGTCAGGTCATGGCTACTGTACTATAATACAGAAATCAGAACTACTCTCTCTATCTTCCTTCCCCTCCACTTCCTGACCTCTAGTGACCTCTGCTCTACTAACTACTTCTATTCTTTTACACTTTAATTTCTTTTACACTTATTTATTGTGTATGTGTCTGTGTGTCCATATGTATGGGTGTGCATGGCATGACCCAGAAGTCATGTGGCGATCAAGAGGACAATTTTAGGGAAGTCAGTTCCTTCCTCTAACATATGATTTGTAGAGACTGAACCCAGGTCCTCGGGTTTGGTGCCAGGAGTCTTTATCCACAGAGCGATCTTGCCAGCCCATCTCTACTTGAATGTGATCAGCGATTTCATTTTCCAAAAACAAGTGGGGTGGTGGATGTCTTTCTTTGCTTAATTTCACACAATGTAATGATTTTCTCTTTCCATCTTTATGGTCAAGGAGAATAATTGTTGAGTCTTACTGTGTAATAGACTTTGCCTTCTTATGTCTACACTTGCCTTGGACTTGGTGCCCTTCTCGATCTCTTGTTTTTCTCCTTTGGGATGGTACTATCTGTCTTATGTCTGGGCTGCCACTGTATCATTTATTTTCAAAGCACATAATCTGTCTGGGTTTACTGGTTCACAGTTGGCCAGGAATTCTGCCTCAGGATGAATCATACCCTGAGTCTCATCTGTACTTGATTTTGATGAAACTTAGATGACTCTTTGGACTTTCAAGGTGATACTGGAAGGAGAAGGTCTGTGTTGTTATTGGAAAGTAGTGAGCGTATTTTGCATGTGAATAGGACATGAGTTTTGGTAGGCCAAGATTGAAATGCTATGGTCTGAATGTGTCCTTCATCACAGTCAATGCTGAGGCTCTAATCCTCACTGAGATGGCATTTGGAGACAGGATATGTGGCAGATGGTCTGGGATAGATTATGCCATAGGTCATAGGAATAGGACCTGACCTTTTTAAAATTTATCTATTTTTATTTTATGTGTATGAATGTTTTGCCTGCATGTATCTAAGCATACCCATGTCATGCAATGCCTGTGGAGGCCAGAGGAGGGTGTCCAATGCCCTGCAACTGGAGTTACGAACAGTTGTTAGTTTCCATATGGGTGCTGGGAACTGAATCCAGGTTCTCTGGAAGAGCAGCCAGTGCTGTTAACTGCTGAGCCATCTCTCCAGCCCCAGAGCCTGACCTTCCAAGAAGAAGAAGATGCGATCTCTTGATCTCTCGATCTCTCGATCTCTCGATCGCTCTCTCTTTCTCTCCCTACCTTCTTCCCTCCTTCTTTTCCCCTTCCCTTTATCCTTCTCCTCCCCTTTCATGTGTTATGAGGACACACTGTCTGTATACTACAAAGAAAGCCCTCACCAGAATCTAGAATTTCTTATTCTCTGCCTTGGTCTTTCAGCCTCTGTAGCTGGGAGAAAATAAAAGTATTACACTATCCAGTCTATAGTATGTTGCTATGGTACACTGAGCTAGGTTAAAAATCTTAGAGGATATTTAAATTCTGCAATAATTTTTAAAAATATACAAAATATGGAGCCGGAGAGATGGCTCAGAGGTTAAGAGCACTGACTGCTCTTGCAGAGAACCAGGGTTCAATTCCCAGCACCCACATGGAGGCTAACAACTGTCTCTAACTTCAGTTCCAGGGGATCCAATGCTCTCTGACCTCTGCGGCACTGCTTGACATGTGTAACATGCAGGTAATACACTCACACATAAAATAAAAATAAAATAAATATTTTAAAAATTGTCTAAAATATAACTTTATTATACTTCTTGTTTTTTTTTTTTCCTAGAAAAGAGTTTTTGTTTAAAAAATGTTTCTTTGAAAAGGATACTGTTCCAATTTGCCACTGAATCCATACCCAGGGGGAAAATGACAGACAGGATACCAACAAGATAGGGCATGAGTTCTGTTGTGTTACTAATTCACACTTTCTTTGGAGGGGTGTATTTGAATTAGAGGTCTGCACTGTGGTTGCAAATTTTCTTTAAACAAGCACGTATATTTACCCAAGATAGTGAGGTGTGTTGATTTCCTTTCTTTGGGAGTTTATAACATCCATTCTATTTATTTAATTCATCTGTATAATTAATATTAACTGAAAGGTTTGGTCACACATGTAGGACACTGAATTAATCTGTGCAGAAGTCTCAAGGGGTAATATTAACATCACACAATGTAGTGATTTCAAATAAACTATTTAGTTCCCAGAAAACAACACATTCTTTCATTCTAAAATAGAAATTGCAAGGCTGGAGATATACTCAGAAGTTAAGAGCACTTGCTGTTTTTGCAAAGGACACTGGTTTAGTTTCTAGCACCCACATCAGGTGGTTCACAACCACCTGCAACTCTAGTTCCAGGGAATTCTCTGCTCTCTTTTGGCCTCTGTAGGCACTGCACACACGTGGGGCACAAATATACACTCTGGCACACACATGAACATAAAATAAATATATATATCTTTAAAATATGACTTGCTACAAGAATAAGAAGAGAGAACATACAGGTCTTCATACCCGGCCTCGCAAGAGTTCATAAGCCGTCACCCCCAGCGACCACCAGTCCACAGCAAAGGAGTAGCCCACTTCCTTCCTGGAACTGAACATCTCAGGGGCTGCAAGACACAGAGCAGGTCAGTGCTGTTCCCCAAGACTCTAAGAAACCTGTTTCCCCAACACATTCCTCCAAAGAAGAATTAGCAGTAGGAAAAGTATAGACATTCTCATGGGCGTTTACTACCCACTGTTAACGTTGTTCATAGCAGGCTAAAGTTGCTAGTTTCCTTAGTTCTGTCAGTAGTCTCTTTCATCAACTAATGCAAACAGGCACACACAAGCCTTGACAGACAAACTCTTCTCTTATATGGATCATGAACCTACTGAAACATGGGTCCGAGGAGGCCTCAAATATTTAGCTGACTCTGAAACAAAAAAAAGCTGGGAGGACAATGCTATCCAGATCTGGAATGTTCATACTAGAGGGTCTGACTGTATACTGTGATTGCAAATGATGCTCAGAATTGTATGCAACATACACTGGATTGGCTTTCTGTCTTGGGGACACCTAGAAGCTGCAGGGGGAACAAATGAAGCTTCCCATTGTGGGTGAGGACTGGACAAAATAGGCAGTGGGCACTCTAGGGAATATAAGGTTTTGCAATAGCCATGGACCATTTACACTTTGAAATTGCAGTTCTCTGAATCGACTCCACGGGAATGCAGAGAGCAATCAACTGACCTCTAGAGATCACCCCTCAGTTGAGCTCTCTAAGTACTTTGTCATACACTTCCAAGATATACCTCAGTCCCAAAGGTCAGAATAGAAATGGAGCACAAAGCAAGGACAGATATCTGGTCTAGTACAGAACCTGTTACTTAGAGTCAGTGTATAGATATTTATTAAATCAATACACAAATAAGTACACTACTGAAGCCATAGTTGTAATCACTATCTCTGGAGCCGTGCTAGGTTCAAATTCTGCCTCCACCATTTACTGTGCCCTTGAGAAAATCAGTTGACATAGTATAATTTCTGTACCAGCAAGACTAGAAAAATCTTTGACAATTAGGAATTAAATGAAACAATGCATGCCAATATCTCAGCATAGTGCATGGTACTTACAAAATATAAAAGATAAAAATAAATCAGAAACTATTCTGCAGAAGAAAACATCCATAATAGTGCAGGGATTTACACAGCTCAAGGATATATAGGATTGATCCCAAGTCTCCTGTACTAAGTTGCTGGCTCTGGGCAAAGGAAATCCAGAGGGCCGAGGATCTGCCTACCCAAGCCTGTTTACCTGTGCCCTCAAATTCTCACTAAACTTCTGCGCACAGCATCCAATTATAGGGGTAGAATATTGACATTTTGAATACTTGGAACTGACTCTAAGAGCTTGATGCTGCAGGACTAAGTGAACCTCACACCCTGAGGAGTTCATGTTTCACACATCACTGCATCCTTTCTGCAAGTCCCAAGTCCCAAAGCAGCCATGGAGGAAATGGCCCCAACCCCACAGTGCTCCCACGCACTGGAGAAAATGAACTATACTTCTGCTTTACTGTTTCAGCACTGTATTATAAGTCATCTCAGGTAGTCCCCTCAGTGACAGATGTCAGACATTGTGCTTAGAGGATCTGCAGACAATTTGTATAACTAGACCAACTGTGCTGGGAAAATGCCAAACCAAATAAACATTACACTATAAAAGTCAATATGAGCTTTCTTGGAAGTTATGTGACTATTCTTTCTCTCTATTTTTCAGTGCAGTTATGTGTCTCCTTTTTTCGCCTCTCTACTTGCTGTTTTCAGACAGGAAGATATTTGGATATCATTCATTCACTAAGCATGATGTGCTAAGCACTGAGGAATTGTGGTGTGGCATTAAGAACAAAAATCATGACAACATACAAAAGCACTTCAGATATATTGTTCTTTGTTAGGGAAAGAGGAATTTACTGCTTGTTTGAATATACTGCTTGTTTGAATTTACTGCTTGTAACCAATTAACTCAGCTGGAGACACAGGCATCCGGAGATAGGGGCAAGTTGTCTGGTCTGTGTCATGTCTGTAGGCATGTCTGCTTACACAAGATAACAGAAAAGAGTCGTACCAGGCACATACCAACCATCTCTCCCCGATTGAGACACCTGAAGGGAGTTGTAACATTTTTCTTGTTTTAAAGTTATTGGTTTGTGAAATGCTTGCTTTGAAACTATTGGCTGTATAAACGCGGGCTTTTGTGTAACGGTTGTGGGAGCCTATATAATCTTTACCTAAAATTGCCTCAGGGTCGATCGCTCTGACCAGACCTGCGTGTTTTGGGAAGGACGGTCGGCCCTAGCTAGCTGGTTTAATAAAACTCTGCTTGATTCTTGCATCTCCATACTCGTGCATTGTTCTCCAGAAGAGACCCACTGAGTCATGGACCCTAACATTCTTTAAGCCTTCAAAGAGAAGAAACAAGGCAGGAAGATACTGAGGGACTGTTCCTAACTGAGAAGATCCTGGATCCTGAGAAGAAGCATAAAAGAATAAACATCTCTATAAACAAATGCCCATGTAACCATTATGCACATTAAGATGTATAGTCTGATTCTCACCACTGTGTTCCGTCCTAGCCACTCCTCTAGAACTCACCATCTTGAAGTTTATGTAAATAATGTTGATTTTTTTTTTTTTACAATGTGAAAGACAAATTTATTGCTGGGAGGAGCACGCTTGGCTTCCAGGCCTGCTGCCAGCCCCTCCTCCCACCGTCCTTACAACCAACTGAGAAAATATTCCTCCAAACTACAGTTTAGGGAATAAAAATATTTATTGGGCTTACGAACAAAGCATATGATGGCAGTGAGGGGGCTACTTACAAAGAATGAGCTCCCTTGGGTCTTTCTTTCCCCTACATCTCAGCTGCAGCTTCCTGAACCTCAGGTTGCAGGTCCAAGATGGCAAAGCACCCTCTTCCTCTCTTGCTTCCTCTGTGTTTATCCTGAGTCCCTCCCTCTCATGCAGTTAAGGCTGGCTGATTGGGTGGGAGGGGTGACTGTCTCCCTCTGCCCTTCCTTCCTAGGGAGAGTCTTAGTGTCCAACCGGTTTGAAGTAAGGGGGCGGTGTGGAAGCTAGAGAAGAAGGCATTCATCTGTTGCTGGTCATTTGGAGGATAAGCCTATCCAGCACAATAATTTCTGAGTTTCCT